TTTATTCAATTTAATTACCAATGAAATCATTTCGCGAGAAGAACCTCGAACGAGATCGTTTTCGAACATCGCGCGTATCCTTGTTTCTCGAAAATAAACCTTCAGTATTTTGCACGTGTGCGCGCGCGCTAAGCTCGATGAAAATTAATATCCCCGGTTTTTCTCGCGGTTTTTGATGCTCATTTCTCTAACGGTAGCTCGATAATTGATCTATAAAATACACTTAAATCTATCGAAATGTGGAATCGGGCAGATGTTTCCTGCAATTATTGCTTAAACGAGAATGCAACAACTTGGTCGCAAAGAGACGCGGGAAACAGTCCGAGAGGATGATTAATATCGATTCAACGAGTCGAAGCTGAGGAGGGGAGGAGAGGGTGATCGTCGTCGAACAACTGGAGGACATCAAAGTATATCGGCAAGGGTTTTCGCCATTCTTGCCCTAAGGATATTACGCAGACCGGGATGAGGCAAAAGAGCAGAAAAGTTGAAATAATTCCGCGCCGGGGAAATATGGTACAATCTTCTTTGTTTAACGGAATACCGGAGCGACCGACCAGATACTGGAATGATCAAAGAGATCAACCCGAGGCACCGTCGGATCTTTTAAGAATTTATATTGTCTCATTTCGAGTGTTTATTTTTAATTACGCCCGTATGAAAAGGGGTTTCAGCGGGACCGCGAAATTCTTGATTCTTTTAATATTTTAAATCCGATGGGTTTTCTGCTTGAGAAAGAAAGAGAGAGAGAGAAAGGTTTTTTATATGGAGATTTTTATTGCCTTCGAATATAATTATCGATTTATTTAATACATCTTTATGTTTTACTTTTATTCAGCCGTCTGTTCAAATAAATTTGATCGTTACTGCATTAAATGGCATGATCTGCTTCATTGAAATTTAATAAGGAGCATAGTTTATCTCCCACAGAATAATTGACACATCAAATTTTTAGAATATAGCTAGAAACACATATCTCAGTCGCTCTAATATGGATAGTCACTTAAATGGATAGTCTCTGCAGGATAAATTTCCATCAATCTTCAAATATTTTATTATTTATTTATACCGATCAATATTAGGTTTTATCAGTATCCTAATTGTGAGACTCCCTCTTTTGGGAGTGAGGTATTTAGATAAATACTCCTACTTGAGATAATTTAATACTGTATATAGCTGAAATAAAGGTAGTGACCAAAATCGGATTAAGCATGTGCCATTTGAAATATATTTTATATATTTACGTGCATATGTATGTACGTGTCCAAAAGGAACTCATGGACGAGTAGTGTAAACTGTATTGCATACGTTTTCTTATTTATTCCACGTTGCTGCCATTTGTCTTAACCTAACCTTCCGTTTTTCACTCTCGCCGCGGTATCTCGGTTTTCATCAGATTGAATTGTATCATTGTCTCTGCTTCGAGAGAGATCGAATCATCCCCTTTTCGTGCCTCGCCCTCGCTTCGCATCCCACGTCTATCGATTATTCAAACGTCTATTTTTACCTGTAACGTGAGTCGAGCCCACTCGCGAGTCACTTGCTCTGAACCTTCGGTCGATTATATCATTCAGTATAATTCCCAGCACACGTTTTTTTTTAACATTCCCGCGCCAAATTTTAATTGATACCACTCGCTCAAGCTCCTTGCTGAAAAGGAAAACAGAAAAACAAAGGTCTTCCCGAAGGAATGCAGGATCATCAAACGTGAAATGTTCAGACTTTGATTCAACTGGCAGAAGCACAGAGCGTGCTGCAACAAAGGTGCGTTACGAGAGAAACAAGAAGAAAAATAATGGAAAAGACGTATACTTTGTGAAAAACGGTGGATAAGGCAAAGACTTGGCAATGGCGAAGGGGTCCCTGGTGTCAGTCTTCCCTCACGCTGCGATGCCTCTTCTGTTTTTATTAAAAGCTTTACTCTCCGTCTCTCTTTCTTCCCTGTCATTCATCGTTCCTCCTTTCGTCGTATAATATTACTCGTTCTTTTGAAAGTGAAAAACAGAACGAATGTCGTCTAAGAGACTCAATTCTTTGGCGACTTTCGTGCGACTTTCGTGAATTATTTCGATGAATAATCATCATCTTCGTGGTATGTACCGGTGCTCTGCGCCCGTTTCTAAAGAATCGATTCGCCGTCGTTATCCTCTCTCTTCTTTCTCTCTCTCTCAAAAAGGGGAAGAAAGAAGACGCAGATCCCACGGTAAAACGATCAGGCTTTGAGTCATTCTTCATTGAAGACGCCGCTGCGTTTGCGAACCTTACACGTGACTGCTCTCTCGTTAGGAACAAGCTGCTGGTCTGGTTTTTCGTCCGCAGAAACCCTCCCCGGTTTCTGTGTCGCGTCCACGAAAACAGTTAACGATATTCAAACAAACCTTCGTCTCGAGAATGCCTAGGTTTAAAAGGGGATGAGACGTGGATGAATGTTTTGATATCAATCTTCAACCACGTGATCAGAGTTTCCAGTGGATCGCGTGCCGAGAGAGAGTCTCGATGGTTCCAACGTACGTTTTCTTCCAACCCAGGTGCATCGTATAAATTTTCGAGTTTTATATTCAACAGTAAATTGACTACGAATTGCCAGTAGATCGACGACTTTTATATTTTCGTCAGAGTACAGTTAAAAAGAAAAAGGATTTATTTTACGTACATTCTGCGCGTTTTTAAACTCGTTTTATAACTCGCGTGTTCGTCACTCTGCTATTTCCCGAGCGTTAAAACAAACCCACTGCCACCAACGAGGATAGCTTGGCTTAGAATATTCGATAATTATCACCGAACGCACGCGGAACACCCAATAACGAGAGCAACAGAAATTTCACGCAAATTTCTCCGCGAAATTCCTACCATTCCGCTCGATTAATTTCAACCCTCTCGCTGGATATTCTAACGAGAGAAAGGAGAACTACGACAGGTGCACACACCCACACACACTTCCGCACACGCTTCTGTTCACTTTACTTTTATATCATCTCGATCGGCCGATATTTTTGGCGAGGCGATCCTGAATCAACGGACGCGTTACCCCGATCCAGCGACACGCCTCTCTCCGATGTTACTTTCGCCGAGCGTATTACGTAAAACCGGTAAACGGAATTACCTCGCGTTGACAGATGCAAACGGGATGAAACTGTCCCGTTCGCGTTCGCCGGCGAAGTCCATCGAATGTTAATCGCATAATCTAATATTTACCCTCGTCTGTACGACGCCGTGTGCACCGCAGTTTTTCCCTCGTCCCTTCTTCCTTAGCCTTTGATTCCATCGCGCGCGCGTTCTGCCCTCCCCTCTCTCTCTCTCTCTCTCTCTCTCTCTCCCTCTCTTTTTCTTTCTGTCTTGGCCGAATAACTCTTGAATCTCATTCTCACGTGCTACCGTTGAGCGCATGGCCGCTACTTCTATCGTTTCGTGCTTGCGGTCCTTTCGCAACGAGGAGTGGGAAGGAACAAAGCAGCGAGACTGGCTCCGAGGGCGGCAGGGGGTAAAGGTAATCCCTATTGTTTCTCCTGTCCCATAAATCCTACTAGCCGCGTCGCCTTCCCGCCTCCTGTGCTTCTCCGCTCTTCTCTCGCTCTCCTCTCTCTCTCTCTCTCTCTTCGCTCTCTTTCTCTCTCTTGCGCACTTCGGTTTACCGACAACACACCCCCGCACCCCAACCTGCTACAACTCCCGCTATTCTCAATCCCCTTGCTACGCCTTTCTCGGCGTGCTTCGTAAATCTCGGTCCAGCTGTGCTTTACGGCACACATGTACTTCCGGGAAGAATACAAGCGATCCTATCTCCGATTCCAAGGGGCCTCGTCCCACCACCACCCTCGATGCCCCTGGTCGCTCGAGATGGTTAGGTTAACGCTCGATCCGTGAAATGTCAGAATTTTCTTTTTTTTTTTTGCTTCTCTTTCTCTTTGCTCTCGGAATGACGAAACGCGATCAAGAGCGAACCGTGGAAATTCAACGAGAGTGATTTTAGTAGTTGTAGATGGTTGATTAATTCAACAAATTGAGTAAATGAGTCATTGAGTAAAAATTGTTTTCAAGAGAAGGAGAGGAAACACTTGATATAGCTATATACTACTTTCAAGATTATATATCGATTCAAGATTATTTTATTTTATTTGCGTTCAAACTGAATGGCCTTAATGTCGACGACAGTTAGTTAATTCAACAGTAGCTTGCAGGAACGAGAAGGTTTTTATTTATCCTCGTACGATTTCAATATTCTCCTTCTGGATAAAGATAGCTGACCGTTTTTGAAAATTTGTCGCGGCACTTCGAGTTTCGATACCCTGTTCCACGGGGGTTGTTTACGATCCATAACGCCTTCGTCGAGCCACTTTAGATACGCGAGCCACGTAGAAGGGGTAGTTTTTTTTTTTTATCAAAACCAAGGAAGGGTCGCTACTAATTTATGACGTTAAGTTCTGACGTCTTGTTGCGCCTCGCTTGTACTTTTTATTTTCAACTCGTACATTTATCACGGTTGTTTATATAACGCGATCACACGCTTTTGTTTCTGAAATCTGCGGAAATGTAACCGTGACAATTTCCGTCCTTCGAATGATATACGTATTTTAGTATACCTGTGGAATATTTCTCACAAGTTCAATGCTTCTCGTGTTTATTATTTATTATTTATTTTCTTTCTTTTTTTAGTTTCAAGTCTATTGAAATACCTTCCGGACAATCTAATCGTCGATTCAAGATCAACTAACGTTTCGTTTCAGAAATCAGCGATTAAATCAGTAATTGACAATCGAATATATTTTTGCAAGATCAAGAGTAAATGTAAAAAATGATGTCCACAACATCGTCACTTTATTTCGTATTTTATTTCCAATATCTCGTTCAGAATATTCTCGTAAATGACAACGTTCGTTTTGCAACAAATTTCAAGCAGATCCGCCTCCAGATTTCACTCTACGCAAATTAATATTTATTAATTAATCCCGGCCTCGAAGAGCAACGCAACTAACCGACGTTCTTTTTATTTGCAATTACAGATCGAGGATGCCATGCTGATGTTCGATAAGCAAACCAACAGGCACAGAGGTGAGTGAAATTCCCGATTTTCTCGAAAGAAGAGTAACCGGGGTAGAACGAAGCGGGTTTCCTCTCCCCCCGCATATACAATAATTCGATACCCGTGGGACGATAATTGCTGTTTAATCACCGGTAATCGTTAAAACGCGAGCTCGCGTTCGCGTCAGAGGACTGCTGACGTCGTGCTTCGTCCGCGGGCGAAATTTCGTTGTGCATTCGCGGCTCGTGCGTGTGCGTGTGCGTGTGCGTGACACGCAAGTTCACCGCCCCCGCGCAAATATGCTGAAAATATGGTCGAGACTGTTCTCTGTTTAGCGAGTCAATAATACTGGCGTGTTTCGCTCGCGTGGATCGCGCACCGGGTAATTAACGAGTCGAAACTATAATTAGTAATTACGGTAATACGCGCGCGCGACGCCGATGCGCAGTCGAAGATAAATAACATTAATTTGACGCCGCCGATCGGACCGTTAATCACGACGGTGATTGCGTGATTCAACGTTAACGCGCGCCTTTCTTATCCTCGACGACGCGCCCGTCACCTAGGAAAATTCCTCCGTGTTTTTCGCCGATCGAACATCGACCAAACGAGATCGAGGCATTTTATCGATACGTTTTGTAACGAGAAGCTTCAAATTGATTCAACGGACTCTGCCTCGGGTAATTTTGGTGGTGTCTGAGAATCGAATGATCGACAATCTGCCAATACTTTTTGGGGAAACTTGAGGATGGATATTTATAAATTTGTATTAAACGAAAACTCAAATTTCCTTCCTTCAGTTAGGTTCGTAATAAATGCATGAACATCCGCAGCGATCAAATAACAAAGTACGAAGAAGTGGAGGAAAATTTCTATACATCGATTATATTATCGAGACGATTGCATCGTCATTGAATTGCACGATATAAATTTCCCTCTTTTATTAGACGAGCACGTACGTAGTTATATATCGGATGATGTGTAACAATTTAATCGAATCGTCCCACGGAATTGGACCAGAATTCGAAGATATCGGTCGTAGCTACATATTATCAATAGACGCGGGAAAATTCCACGAGAGAGGGTAAAAACGCAACAGTCTTCGAGTTCCAGAGTGGCTCGCGCCGGGCATAGCAATCGCTCTCGAGATCTTAGCGGGGCCAGCTTCCATTCAGGTGCGATTAACATAAAGAATAAAGGAAGGGGACGCGTGCCAGGAATCGAAACGGCGGGCATTTATATCCGGCGCGCGTACCGCGTGTACAAACGACCGGAAGAATTTCGCTCGCGGTGGGAAAATACGAAAAATGTAAATTCATCGTGGCTCGATTAGAAGCTGAACCGGAGTATTGTGTAAAAAGCGAGAGAAAGAGAGAGAGAGAGAGAGAGAGAGAGAGAGAGAGAGAAAAGAAACGGATGAGAAGGGAAGGGAGTGGAGAAGGGAGGAGGGAAGGAAACCAGGGCCGCCTTTGAAATTTGCATAACACCATCTGTTATCGTGCGCTTTCTTTCGAGCCCAGCCGAAGGTCGTTCCGAATGTCTCGCGCGGCACTCCACGTTCGCGTCTTTAGCGTAACGATAGCGCTAGATTGAGAGATAAACGGCCGTGTGAATAAATCGTTGCGAGTGAAACGAGCAGCGCTATCGAGGTTTTCGTTTCGAGATTCACCCGATTGTATGGGGTTTTTCTTTTAACGCCAGTAATTTGTACACTGTGGCTACTGTGAACGTTCGTGGATGATTGATACGACATTTCGTTACGAGTCGCTTCGACGTAATACGATACCACTTTTCAAAGTTTCCACGGAATCTCAGCGAAATTAACGTTTGTTCTTAACGTCACGCGTGACTGAAACTATATGCAATGAATTATACAGCTTGGTTGAAGAATAAAGTCGTAACCATTCATTTAGAAATTTGACAAATTTATACAGAGAAATGAAGAGGAGCTTGTCGAAAACGGAAAATATAAACTTAGGTGTACAATTTATCGTGTCGTATCAAGAAACTTTCTCGGCAGAAATCCACACGTATTTAAAACGTATCTACGGATCAAACAGAGGCGATGTATCAATCCCAGAATCGAACGACCCCACGCACCAGGATTCAACGTTCAGGATGAATGAAATATCAGGCTGCTAGACGCAATATATATATATATATATATACACACTATACATGTATATATATATACTACAGACGGTGGGTGAAGTTTCGCCTGTTCCTCGTAGGAAAACGGGATGGAAACAAGAGCAAGGAAGCAAGACGGAATACGAATGGAAAGGGGTCTGGGCTGTCGCGAGGCTAGATCTATTCACGTCGGGTTGGTTGAATGGAGTCGATAATCGTCAGCGATCGAAGTGCCCCACCCGGCCGATAATCGGCCGTCTCTCTATCTTTTTTAACGGTATCCGTACCTCTTCCTTCTAACCGTGCGGCCCTCGATTCGTTTCCCGTCCCCCTCTGGCTCTCCAGTTGGAGTGCCTGCCGGGGTCTCGGTGATAGATTCTAATATCGCTTATGAAAAATAGGGGCAAATGGGATATGAAAGCTGGCTCCCTTCGATGCCACAGGGGTCTACCCGCCGCCTCGAGGAGTGGGAAGGGGAGTGAGAGAGAGAGAGAGAGAGAAGATTGGGGGATGGCAGGGGAGGATACCAGCCGTGAAAAAGAGGGAAAACTCGCGTCGCACGTCGCCGGCAAACGGCCGACACCGTGGAAAGGAATAGGTGAAATAGCGGTGGAGAAGAAAGAGAGAGAGAGAGAGAGAGAGAGACGAGAGAAAGAAGGATGGCGAAAGCTCTTTCAAAGCGGCGCGTAATCTCTCTCGCGATGACATCTAATACCATCCAACGTCGGACGAGTCTGTGAACCTCAAACCTCGAACATTACTGCTCTCCGGCAGATTTCACAATATGGTACTTCCATAGCCGGTCTCTGACCCCTAAGGGGATTATCGTCGGATTTTCTGTGAACGATGCGCGAACAGCGGGCTGCTCGGACGCAATCAACGGGACACCGACGGGCGATGGATCTTATCTTCGGTCCTCTTACGTCGCGTTCCGGAGTTTCACGATCACGAAACGATACAGCCGAGTACGACCTTTGACTGCTCGACGGGGATTTCGAGGAAGATTTCGCTTAGTTGTCGTTTAATTATTTAATAACTGCGAATATTTATTTATGATTTTGGGAAATGTGATAATTATTTTCTGAAAAGGGACTCTATTGTACGACGAAGGTTGGAAGATTGCACAGTAATCTACGTATTCTTGAAATCTAGAGTCTAGATCTACAATCTAGACATCGGTAAACGGTGAAATCGAAGCTGAGTGAAATGAAATATAACGACGTAAACATCTACGAAAACTCTTTCAACAGAAATTGGCTCCAAAATGCAGAGTTTCGAATTCGCTGAACGAGGAGGACCGATAGTAACCCAGAGAATGTTCTCCTGCACGTTCTAAATCACGAAACATACGTGGATGGCAATATAAAAGGAGTCTCGGATCGTTCCTCGAATCACCGAGATTGTTTCTCGGATAATCGTCATTCCTTGTCACGACCGTTGTTCGTTCAAGGTCGTTCGACGATGCTTTCTAACCCAAATCCGATTCCGATTGGAACGACTCAGAACCGACGCTAGGATGACACGAAGCGGAACAACGAGCCACCAGCCCTGAACTGCTTGCGGAATTACAAAGAGAGAGGAGAGATCGTTGCCGATGGTACCGTGCCCTTTGCGTTCAAATCCCCGAAGAAGTTGAACCCTCCTGTTTTCTCTCTCTCTCTCTCTCCTTTATCCACGCCATCGTCGTCTTTGTCACCGCCACCGTCACCACCGCCATCAGCACCGGCAACGCCACCATCAAGCCCTGGTGAAAGAAGAATCCGAGCGTTTCCGGACAATTTCGAGTCCCGCAGCGAGCTATGATTTCCACGCGGATGGGCAGCCGGTGCAATTGCAGCAAAGCGTGTCTTCTCTCTGCCGTGCTAGCCTCTCCTCGACGAAGAGGCGCGACTATAGCTCGGAGGCGCGATTATCCAAGCTTGGCTGGCCAAAGGATTTTCTCTTCGTGAGCTCCACCCTTACGCGGGGGAGGATTGCAGGGTGAGAGGACAGGGAAGGGGCACCTATAAGGCAGAGGCAAGCCACGGTTCCGTAGCTTCGCCTCCGCCTACACACGTCTACCTAGACACACACGCGCGCGCGCGCAAACGCAAAGACGAACGCGGATATAAGTGCATACATGGATGTATTTACACACACGGGAGAAGACGGGGTCTATATAGTCGGTCAAGTGTATGGTACAGGTGCATGGGTGTGTGTTGGCGCGTGTACCTTGTCATAAATTGCTGGCACATTGCTGCTGGGTGGGACGTATGTGTTCCTGCATCGGCCAGGACCGCTTCCACCGGTCCTTCTTGATTGCCTACCGGCGATGGTCCAAAAGAAGGAGTTGCCTACTCATGCGTGAACACACGCGTCAAAGGGACGCGCGTCCAGCTTCTTCGATCGTTCATTGAATCTCTCTCTCTCTTTCTCTTTTCCCTGTCGTTCGTGCACCGTCGGCGATCGGGAAGATTCGAGGCGGCCCCCGGGGAAAGTCGCGCCCAGCGAGCTTTATAGAGTCGTTCTTTTCTGTGGGGAAAGGTGTGGATGATGACGCGAGACACGCGTTTCTTTGTGATACAGTCAGCGTTGCGCGACCAAAGACTTTACTTTCCTCCAAATTTTGATCTTACACTCGTTTTAAAAAAAGGGAAGAGAGAGACTGACTTTGAAGACACTTAGAAAAAGAAAATTTAATTGAAAGTCGTGCATACCAACGAAGAGACTGCAGATTTTTATGTAAATTCATAGTTTTCGGAGAATGTAATTAGGAAGAAGTTGAATTTCGGTGAAAAGTTGTTATGGAAGGTACTTCAAGATTTCTTACAAGTTGAATAAATATTCGCAGTCTATCGACAAGAACTTTTACAGATATTATTCCAACTTGGAAATTTAAAATTTAAACTTTCAGAAATGA